TTGGCGTGCTTTTGTGGACGACTCTCTCCAGCCATCACGATGGACTCGAATGTAAAAGCTGAGCGTTTGCTCGTGTTCATTGTGTATCGTGCCATCTTTAGGGATGGCCTCGCTCGAATACGCAAGCCAGGCAAAATCAAGGCCATTGTTCAGGAGCATTGGCCATCCTGCGAAATTTCAGTGGGCGGCTATGGCATGAGCAGGGTTGTTGACGTTCTTGGAGACCTTTTAAGAGATAGAGTGTTTGAGTCAGAGGTACAGGCGCGTGACGAATTTCCAGAGCTCTTCCGTAACTTCGTCCCGGATGGCCGGCATCACATCACGCCTGGCGATGGCGTGCGAACGATAGAAACGCAGTTACCTTCAGATCACGCCGATCAGACAGGAAAGTGGACCACCGTTCAGCATGACGGGAGCTCGAAGAGTGGTATGTTTCTAGACCATCTCGTACACATGCGAAAACCGTCTCTAACACCTATTCTCTTTTTGGAAGACGACGAGACTGAGCAGCTGTCACGGCCGTGTCCACTGCCTAAATCCATCCAGCACCGCATCCTGACGAACACGCAATCGCTACTTGAAACAAGCTGCTTTGACTTCGCTGCCCGATGGCTACCTGCAGTACTCCATGAAAATGGCTGGGACTGTGCGGTTGCGTGCGAACTACAACGATGGATCCGTGTCCTGAAACGTCACGTTGCACAATTACCGAACCACGCTTTCTGCACTACCAACACTCGATCGCTCGAGGACATAGCAAGGTCTATTCCACACCTCCGTCATACTGCTGTCCATCGCCTATCTCTTACAACGAACGAACTTCTACAATTGCTCATGTCCGCGGTTGAACTGACGGTAATCTTGCATGACGAAGTCCGTGCAGAGAAACTAAGGAAGCTATACGACGAAGTTAAGACTCAGATCGATTGGATTGATCAGAGTAAGAAGAGAATAAGAGACACTGTTAGCCCCCAGCTCCGCCGAATCCAGGGCATGAGAGCAGGTCTTACCAACAGAGAAAGACATCTTCTTTCGGAAACGAAACAGAAGGAGAAGCATGCTGACGATATGGCCATTGAGAAGCTGAATGATCTTATTGCAAAGCTGTTCTTAGGAGAAAGTCTGGCCTATCAAGGAGACAATATCAAGATAGCTTCAGGATTGAGCACCGGTTAGAATCAGAGTCTGGGTGACGAAACGCGGGCGAGGAGAGTGCCCCTCCTCCTTGGATCCAGAGCATTTATGATCTACAAGCAGCGTGGGAACGGTCTCCCCGTGCTGGTCTAATATTCCGTGTGCCTGTAGAAGAGGTAGCAGGGCATTATTTTGTTGTTATCAAAATAGCTCGTCAGTGCGGTGTGACGGAGAACCTGCAACAGTGCAAAGAGCGAGTTGGAGAGAACCTGTCAAAGGCAGCGCCCTGCATGCTCGGAATCGAAGTGGGGATACGTCCTTTGTAATACCGCTGGACGTGGGCATACAGCACAGGCTGGCGTGATGTAAAGACGATTGCGGAACATGAGCCCAACCGTTACATAGCTGATCCATGTAATACTTTGACTGAAGCTTTCTCTTTGCGTTGGTTATATTCAAGAACCGTCTCAATTCTAAGGCTCTTGCGCTCACCAACCATCAAAGAAAGAAAGATATCAATGAAACAAAATTATTGACAGTCGCTTATGCTCTATATACAAACTGTTTGGCAGCAAAAAGACCGTGCAAATCTTTTCTCATCTTCTGTATGAAACGAGGAACCATACCAAGTCCTAAAAATTTCCGGATGCTCCGTTTAAGCCGCATTAAGTTCGAAACCTGGCCGTATAATGTGGGAATCCCGTCTATCAGTGAGTTGTTTAGCTCCATATTTACACTCAGCGATGAGACTTGGTTAATATAGCGTGGGTTTTATTCATTTTTGCTGAGCAAGCAGCCTGTATATGCCGACGGGTAACGTGTCTAGGAAGTGGAAATGTTTCTAGGCAGTGGAAACGTTACCCGCCAGTGGAAACGCTACCCTGCAGTGGAAATGCTACCCAGCAGTGGAAACGTTACCCGGCAGTGGAAATATTTCAATTCATTAATCTCCGGATATTTGTAACCACTTCGCCTTCCTGAATAGGACTAGTATAGCACGTAGCCCACGTAGTGTGGTCACGGTAAGTAGAAGAAAATTAAACGTCTCGTTTAAAGCTGTCTACACACCGCTACATTCGCAACTTTTTTTTTTTTCAAAAAAACAACCCCAGACAAGTCGACATTATAGCATTTAGCTACCGACGGTGGTGACTCCGTTACAGGAAACCTCTGATGAAGTTTGGTGCAATTATTAGACCGGATTCAACGTGGCCCGCCGTTGGGGTCTGACCTGCTGCTAAGGCAGTGGCGGCGCCAGGAAAAGGTCAAATTTGAATTTTCCTGGGGCTATACCTGCCGCTAAAGCTGCGATAGGATTTGCAGCAATAATACAGGTCAATGGAGAATCACGACAGCGTCACACAAATCCGAGAAGAACTGTAGTGCTTGTATACATGTCTCTATTTAGATTTATATTGCGCCACCTTCCACCACTGCGGTAGAACGCATTGGAATTGAGCATATGATTTAAAGGCAAAGTCCTGTGCGATCACATCGCATTCGCACCTTTTGGTTGGGATCTTGTTTGTTAATAATGCTGTATTCTTCATTCACAATGACGCTTCATCCCAGACGTCGAATTGCGCAGATAGCGATCCGCGGCGGCAGAGAAAGGGTCGAAAAAGTAGATTCATTCCTCAGACTGTCCATGGAAGCATCGGCTTATAATACTTACACCGGCTCTCTATTGTCGTATTTACTGTGAAGCGCCTCCAAACTGTGATGCAGCAATCTCTCAACCACTCGATCGCAACTTCGTGGAAACTGACGGCAATCTGGACGCTCCCAGATCTATCCTCTTCACTTAGAGGATGTTATAGTATTACATTCGAAGTCGAACGACTAAGCTCAAATACACCTCTATCCGCTCGTTTGGCGTTTTCTAAGCAAGCGGCTATTATGTACTCACGATGCCAAACGACTGATCTGGCAATGTTGATTGAGCGGGCCAAAAAAAATAACCTGCTTACCAGTCAGTGCTTGTCGTGCCGCATGCATTTTTGAGGACCATAATGTCTATCCTCAAATAGCACCCGCATGGTGTTTTCCCTCGTCGGACCAGAGTTTGCTTGGTCAATTCTGCAGTGCCCTGAGGCGAACATGCAGAATTGAAGAGACTTCTCAACAAATTATCTGATTATGATAGACAACATTTTAAAAGGTCGCAACGCGAAACAGTGCGTACAATCACGAACTTGGTTATAGAATTTATCATAATAAAGATACGGAAGGGCTGTACCGTAAGACACCAAATACACGCTTTACATCATACCTAGACTTGCACTTGTGCCAAAGAAAAGCGCATGTATGAGGACGCAAGGAGATTTATTTAGAAGACAGTCGAATGGAGCAGAAAGCAATCGGGCAAGCCCGTAACAAACTGCTTAAATTTATACGTACCTTTTTCACTTTTCAAAAATAGATTAAACGGCCCTCGTACTTCAATAGCAACCCACCGTCGTACGAACACCCCTTTTCCTTTCGGCCACGTCCAAATCACGCTCCATATTACACGGCGAATGCTTGAAGATAACGGATGGCAAGGGGGATCCAGCCCGAACAGGATATCAAAGCCTGCATGACGAAGCGCGTTTGAGCATCTCCGAGGACTGAGGGGAGAGAACGTTCTGGATATGTGAAGTCAGTACTTTTTTTCCGCTTGCCACAGCCTGTTATCGTTGGGTTGTACAACGTTAACTAACTGATCCGAGCTACATACTGCGAGAGGAGCTGCGGGGTAAGTTCCGCATCGGTTGCCGTGCAACGTGCCTCATTCTTGTTTTGGGTGCTACCGATCGCCAGCGCGACTGCATGTTAGCTGCTGAAAGCAGTAATTGCGGGCTTGCACGGCCTATCGCATTATCCGCATAAGCACAGTCAGGCTTTATTTTCATCGGCTGCAGAACTACGTCCCTGCTATCTATTGATCCTAGCGGCTCGGGCCGCAGAGGAAGCTAGCTGGGCGGTAGTAGATGTGAGCGGTTGCCATTCTGTCGCACTAGAGCGTTACGTACACTAGTATGCGTATGGCTATCGGAAAGATGATGTACGAGCGGGTGTTGTTACCTTTTCCAGCCACCACTTAGCATTAATCCCTACCTACCCTTTTGGCATGGCTGATTCTTGTGCAAGTTCGGTCTCAAGTGCCATAGTAGTTATCTAAAACATACGAGGGGCCGCCCCCAACAAAGGTTGCTCTTTGTGTTAATAACTCTCTTTACTTGATGGAGCTATTGGCATGATGCCTAAGCCCCAACGGCAAGATTTTCGGTGTGGTTAATAGGAATACCAGCAAGCTCGGCCTCAGTGATACTACGAGGAACACCTCTACAGAAGCTTTCGGGTTTATAGTATTTCCGGTAGGATTGCACTCCGATCCTCGCCGGGTGATTTAACGGAAGTATGCATGATGCATGGGATCATTCTGGCGGATGGCGCAGCACGATATACTACTACCCTTCTGGATGAATAGGGACTCGCACAACGCGCAGCGCTGGTGTAATAGCTAGAGGTTGCAATCAGCGACTTCCATGTTGATGACACGCAGTTGCTGCATGGTTCTTCCTTTAAGTAGGCATATAACCGCGAAAATAGAAGTGAGCTTTGTGGTGCGTTTGTAGCACCGCGCACGGCAACGATTCCCTAGTTGGTTTGATTCTGCGAGCGATAAACAATGTGGGACGATGACTACCGCAACATCTAAGCTCTATGAATGACACACAATGCGAACAGTGTGCGGCATCTCCAATGGAGTCGTGGGTATATAACGGCACACCCCCAGGGCTTTCAAAGCTGCAAGATACACTACTATCCATTCCTCCTTCATTGAACACCCTACCCTCCACACGACCAAGCACACAATCATCATGGAAATCAATTGGTACTTCAACTGGACCAACGACAAGTCCAATATCGTCACGCCAATTGTCAACCGACAGGGAATCTACGCTGGAAATGTGGGCCAGGTCGCGCTGATCCCCCGTGACGGCACCGTCGCCGTCCATAACGACCTCCCCGGACTCAGCACTGATGAAGTGCGGCTGGCAGCCCCAGACGATGCGTCGTTGCTAGTTGCAGGTCTCCATGGCCACGTCGTGGCATTGGATCCCGTCTCGCTCAAGGAGCGATGGCGGACCAACAGCCTGCCCGATTCAGGCGGTGAGGTCGTGTCGGTGCTCTGCGCTGCGGGTCGAATTTACGCAGGCTGCAACGGCTACGTTTTCCGCTTCGATCCGTCAGGCCCGCAGATTAAGGAGCAGCACTACCTTGACCAAGGAAGCCACGAAGTGCGTTTGGCGATGAACCATTCGGAGTCGATCCTCTTTGCTGGCTACGATGGCGTAGTGTTTGCTTTGGATCCAGAGACGTTGAAGGAGAAATGGCACAAGGAGATGACTGAAGCTGGCCGGAGCGTTGTGTCCATCGTCAGCGGGAAGGACGTCGTCAGCGGGAAGAACTTCGTGTACGCGGGCTGCCGGGGGTATGTTTACATGTTTGACGAACCGGACGGGAACCAAAAGACCTGGAACTCTTTGCCCGGCGATGACAGCAATCAGGTTCGCCTGCAGTTGGATGACAAAGAGCCTCGCATTTATGTCGGTACCAATGGTCACGGCATATGCTTAACTTCCACTGATCTGGAAAAGATCTACGACAGGAGTCTACCAGGAAGCTAGTAGAGCATCACTAATGTTGCATTCGGCGGGGGCAGGGCCTTCTTTGCCAACAATGGCTACGTCTTCGAGCTTCATTCCGATGGAAATGTCGGGCTAAAGAACGAGCTGAAGGGTTACGGTGGGGGAGAAACTCGTTTGGCCCTGGACGGCAAACAGCTCATTGTTGGGCTCAATGGATATGTCATTTCACTCAACATATCCTCGGATACTGATGCTTCTGCCAAGCTCTAGGCTTGAGTATGGTGCCTCGAAGTGGTGGGAGGATGACAAGAAGAAGTCTCACAGTCGTTATAGTTGGGGGTGGATTAGAGAATCATCTCTGCAAAACAGCTTCGAGTGTCTCTCCTATGGGTGCGGCAATGTGTGGTCAAGAGATTCGAAGAGCTGAGGATTGCAGGTGGTTACGTTGAACGATATTGCTGCTGATTGGTTACTTTTCTTTTTTCCTTTTCCACATTCGCTATTTTACTGAATTGTACTCGCGAATTTCTTTACGTCCGAAGACAGTCATTACCAGTAACTACATACAACTGAGTAAAATCTAAACTCTATACATTCTTACTTAAGACTTGGTCGAGATAAAAGTGCTAGATCGTTAAAGAACTCGAAAGATATATAGCTGGTACAAGGAGTTCCGCGAACTCAGCGAATCTGGCCTCAATCCATCGCCACGATTGCTTGCAGCATCGCCGCCGGTGGCATCCCACTTACCTCGCCATGCTCCATCGCCCTCGCCCCTCTCGTCCAGCAGCTCACCCTCAAAATCTCCCCCCTATCCCTACTCTTCTATGTCTCCCGGCCTCCAGCCTCTCTCCGACTTCGGACGTCTGCCACCGCCCGCGTCCGAAACCAACCGCATCCGGCTCGCCTCCAAGCAGCCCGGTAGCGGCGGCGGCGGCGTTCGCTGGCACGAGCAGCACCGCCTACCTCATCGCCGCACTACGCCGCCGCCGCCGCCGCCACTGACTGCAACCAACCCCCCTCACCCCGCGCGCCGCAACCCGCTCAACCTCATCTTGCCCCGCGTACGAGGACCACCTGGTGCGTCGTATTGCGCTGCGTGCTCGAGGTGTGCTTCCGCAACGCGGACGGCGGGCGGCGGGCGGCGCTGAAGGCGTTTTTAAGGCGCCCCACGCCGCTCCGCGTGTTCGGCTTGGCCGTCAGACGGGGAGGCGAAGGAGCAAAATTACTAAACCTAATTATTTTTTTTTTGGCAAACGGATCAAACCCAACTTTAATTAAAATTTACCTACGAATAACTAATACCTACGTGGTATAAGATAATAATTCTTAATATATAAAAAATATAAGCGTTTCTACTATTATAAAAAATAAAAAGTACTTAAAATTTAATTTTTATAAACGCTTTATAATACTTAAAAAAAATTAATTTTTAAAAAAATTTTCTTAAACTAATATTCTCTTAGAAAATATTTTTATTTTTAATTATAATAGATAAATATAAGTATAACTACTGTTAAAAACTATAATAGATTAACCCTCTAAGGGGCTTAACGACTAGTAGAGACTATATATACTAGAGTAAAACTAGGCCTAATTAGGCTCTTCTTAATTAGGTAAATACTATGTACGGCCCTTCGATCTTCAACAACTACTACTATATATATTAAAAATACTTTTATTTTAATTTCGTTAACGTTATAAAGTGTTAAAGTAAGTAAATAAGTTATTTAAAAAAGAGTTAGGTTTGCGTCGCGATAGTCGGGTTTGGTCCGTTTCGCTGAAAACGTTGGGTTTGGTAATTTCCCCGGGCGGAGGCGGAGGCGCGACGGTGTCTGCTGCTTTTTTGTCGGCAAGGAGGCGCTTTTGAGGCTATACTCGCCTCCGCGCCGGGTGCACCGCGATCTGCTGGTGCAGCAGCCGGGAGGAGGAGGAGGAGAAGAAGAAGTCGTGCGGCGCGTGGTTGCGGATATCGAGGCGCTATACCGTGCTGATCCCGGCAGGAGCGGTGGCGGCGATAGTGGAGCAGCAGGGGCAGGAGCTGATCAGTCCTTCAAGCAGATTTTGGCCGGCGCGCCGGATCAGTGGTGACGGAGATGGTGGAACCCAGGTTGGACCATTTCTGGCATTTGGTGGGACGCGGTTCGTGTGTTCGGCCAGTGCGGCATTTGGGTTTATGATGGCGGCGCTGCTTGTGGGCACGCTGGTGGAGGCGCTAGAGCAGCCTGGCGTCTGGGTGGTCGAGGATGCGTATACCGGTGAGATGATGAGGGCGGCACAGCCGTTGAGCTCTAAGCGAGAGGCATATGGGGATTTAAGGATTATGCGGAAAAGGGTTTTGTGGATACCGGTGGAGGGTGGCTCTGTTTTTCTTTCTTTTTTCTTCGTTGTTAAGATCTGTTTCGAGGGAGACTGGGAATGATTTTGTGGGTCTTCGTGGTCTGCACTCGTTTTGCTGGAGTCATCGTGGGCTCCGCAGAAGGTGCCACACTTGGTTGCTGGTAGTGTGATTCACGCCATGTTATATAGTCTTCAACTACTCTATTTCCCGCGATGCTGCTGTGTAGGTGCTACATATGGCCGTGCTACCAGGTCGGAGCCATCCTTTGGCCCGTCATCACTTGCATCAGTTACATAATATCACGATAGACACTCTAGTCCTCCGCAACCTGTGGTTATATCGTAATTCCATTTGCTATTACCGTAATATGTGATGGTAACAGGGCAGAGCAGTCTTATGGCAGTCTAATACCTTTTTTACTCGGGAAATTCCGCACGAAAGAATAACGATACTTCTCCAGCTGCAGTTGTATTCGCGAGAGAGCCTTTATTCGATATGCATATCAATTAGAAAGCGCATAGTAATAAGTTTTATAGCCGCTTATTTTACTAAGAATACCGTAATTAAGGCACGCAAATCTAACGCATAGAAGAGGCGTTTTAAAAAGCCGCATGCAGGGTACTTCGTTATATAGCTTCTCTCAACCCTCCGAGATCTACAATAATGCCCTGTTGTCACCAAGGCTGGGAGCGCAGACGCTGAAATCGCAGAGAAGCGCGTCGGACAGACTATAGTAGTTAGCGGCGGTATAGCGCACGCGAGAAACTGACGGAGATTAATCAAACAACCCGAGTCAATCAAGGAAAGCCCCCAACCCCCCAAAGCCAAATATTCCATAAAGGGTGGCAGCCAGTAGTAGCACTACAGAAGCATCGGCGGTTCGGTTGTGGTACGTTCCAGTCCAAAGCCGGGGCGGCGGCACAGGTCGACGGACGCTACCATGCGCATTCTCATTGTAACGTAAGCGGGTGGAGGACGGAGCGTTCGGAGTAGAGCAATTTGCCCTGCATGTACATTCCAGGCTAAGCCAACCGCTTTCTATGCCGTCGTTTCCCTTTGTCTCATCCTTGCCCAACGTAGATGCTTTTCGCCCGCTGGGGCTGCGCGTATGCATGTGTCGACGACGCGAGTGGAGGTGACACTACTGGCAGGAGATTGAAGGTGAAATGAGCGGAGGTCGCAATTGCACGGCCTCAATCACCGCTGAGCCATATGGGAAGGGTTTCCCCTCCTCCAATCTGTGCGCAATCAGCCTCACTATTAGAGGGTGATAGATGCGCGCTATGACGCGCCCGGCATCGTCCAACTTGCCGTGGAAGATGACCTGGTGCGGCGGCTCAGATAGAAAGGCAGCAAGCGTGCGAGCACGAATGAGGGCATGTAGCGGTGGCGCGTTGGCGAAGATGGGTGAATGCCTAACAAGAAAGGCTGCAAGCGGCGTCCAAGCAATCATCGACGAGTCTTTATACGCACATACGCGTTTGGAATCACTGAGACGGTAGGCACCGTCGAGACATGTGTCACCGACAGATTCTACAATAACTTAGTACAGAGCTGTGGCAATATAAATCCTCGAACTTCTGTTTGCGATTCGGCATCTCAGAGGATTTTGTGGACCATGGCAAAGTCAATTTCCTAATTTGAGGCCTTTTCTGATGGCAACAGGTTTGATTTTAACATTGAAAGCCAAATACATGCAAGTCTGAAAACCCGAAATCTTGACCGGAGCCACAATACATCAATCCCTCTTATCTCGTACTTGGTTCACATTTGCTCCTCAATTCCGGTTAGCGCTCTCTCTGTTACTTTTACATATCTTCCCAATCCTTTCCTCACTTGTTCTCGTATCTCAATAACCGTGTGGGATCCTCCTCAAGTCCTCCCCGAGTTGCGGCTACGTGTCATCGTCCTCCGGTTCGGATTTTCCATCCAAACATTTGGCTTCTTCCCGCTCAAGCTTTCCCTTGATGTATGAACAATAGAAGTCCACCTCGCGCTGACTCGGGTATGATCGATCATGCGGAGCTACATCCGGGATCAGAAGCTTAGAAAGGCGTTCGGCATCCTCCATGGCTTTCTTCAGACAGTTGCAACGAGGGCCTTCGCAAGGAATACCACTCAATTCGCATCTCTCCTGGGGGCCGATGACAGCGAGCAGCTCCTCCGGGTGGTAGGTGCTGTCAAGTTCGGGGGCGGCCGGCGCCGCTGAGTTGTGGGGTGACAACACCCAGCAGAGGAGCAACGATGATAGTAGCACGAGGACCGCTGGCCACGCGAGGGTGGAGTAGGTAGCTGTAGGAGCGTTGGTGGTGGGCGTGGGAGAGCTGGATCCCTCATTTACGTCGGCGGAGCCTGTCGACGTCGGGCTGTTGTCGGGAGTGCCGGGCACTTCCTCTAGAATTGTCGGCATCGGGCGGTCGGTAGGACCGCTAGGCACTTCACCTGGACTTGTCGGCATCGGGCGGTCGGTAGGAGTGCCGGGCACTTGATCTAGACTTGTCGGCGTCGGGCGCTTGGTGGCAGCGCTGGGCATTTCATCTTGACTCGCCCGCATCGGGCGGTTGTTGGGCTTCCTTGATACGGCAAGTAGACTTGTCAATATCAGGCGCTTGGTGGGAGTGCTGGATACCGGCATCAGGCCGCTGGCTGTTGACATCATCGGGTGGCCAGTGTGGGTGCCGGAGACAGGACTATGGCCGACGGGACTTGTCGACATTGAGCTGTCGGAGTGAGTGCTGGACTCAGGCCTGTTGCTGGCGTGGTCCGTCTGTTCTGGGCGGTCGGTGTGCGTGCCTTGGTGTTGGGAGTTGGCGGGAATGCTGTCGTCGTAGCCTGACAGTCTCGGGAGTGTTCCACGTCCGGTACGCCCAGCACATGGACTAGTGTCGGGGCTTGGCGTACGACTGTATGTGGGAGGAGCCGTCTTTAGTAGGCGGTCGGCGTGCGTGTCGTAGTGTTGGGACCTGGCGGGAATATCGTCGTCGTAGCCTGACAGTCTCGGGAATCTTCCCCGTCTGGTACGCCCAGCACATGGGCTAGGGTCGGGGCTTGGAGAGGAATTGTATCTGGGAGGAGTACATGGGCTGGCGTCAGCCGGGTCGGGCGAAGAACTGTCGCTGGCGGGGGCCGCCTTTTCTGGGCAGTCAGTGTGGGTACTGGAGATAGGTCTATCGCCGGTAGGAGATATCGATCTTTGGCCATCAACACTACGGCTAGTGCCACTGCCATGCGGTGGGGTGATATGCGTTTTGAAGGGTGTTTTCTGTCTAGTACGCCCAGAGATCGGGCTAGTATTGGCGGGCGCCATGAGGGAAGGGCGATCTTGATAGCAAAGACTACTAGAAAGCGGTAAGTTGAATGAAGGGATGCGAAATGATGATGATGAGAAGATGCGGCGTGCGGTAGTAATATACCACTGCGAAACCAACCAAGACAAATTAAATTGGCAGATCAAAGAAAAGAGGCAAGCTAAACATACGGATCAAGCACTCGGGAAACCGTTAGCCTCCTAGCAAGTAACTGTCAGGAACATTCTAGTATAACGTTTTTCGTTTGTTGGCATCATAAATAATATGTATAAGGAGACAAACAATTCGCCTGAAGATCATGGAACATTCCTGAGCTACCAGCAACTGGGTCCCAATCTCGATATTCGCTGCCTAGAGGTTACCTACTGACTTAGTGGGGAGCGACTTGTCCCCGAGCCATGGCTGCAGTCCTCGGCTCGTGTTGTCGTCACTCTGACGAAGGCTGGGGCGCGAAACTGAACAGGTAAACGGGTGATGTATCAAGCTACCCGGAAAAAAAAGCATTGAATATCCACCTTGGTGATTGTTCCTGCCGACAGCGTCTCTTGGTCAACCCTCTCCCCACAGCCACTTCACATCGCCTCTTATTTGCGTCCACCATCGCCAGGCCCTGCTGGTCCTCTTGCTTTCTCTTGTTGCATATCTCAACATCAAATCCTACTGTATTTTCGTTTTTCTTTCTTCTTCTCCCTCCTCCCTCACTCTCTCTCCTGGCCTTTTTCTCTGCCTAGCGCGAGTTCAACTCCACCTTCTAATAGACAGCAAGCCACCGCCACCTCTCTGCTGGAGCCACGGAGGCTGGCGCGGCGCAGGCAACACGGCAAGCCAAGGCAAACAGGCTTAATACTACGTCAAGCATTACAAACTTTCTTTAAGAAGCAAGCTCGTAGAGGAGTGTATTACAAATTTTACAATTACCACAAACTAGAACATCAGGTAAGACTAAAGGCGACTGGGTTAAGAGGTGGTTCTAAGAAACAGCAAGGCAGATATACTAGTAGCGGCTGTTTCCCAGCCGGCACAGGTCGTAGTATTTCAAGTGCAGCGGCAGGGCGGCGAAGAGGGCAAGGATCATCAGGGAGATTAAGGCGATGGCGACGAAAGGGCGGCATAGATGTGGGCGTAGCAGCAGGCGCAGTCGCAGTGGGAGGAACATCTAAAGGAGCAAACATGTAGTTTTTTCTAATGCTGACACGAACACGAAAGCACATACTATAGAATTACGCAGCATAGTGTAGAAATGGGGCCCAAAGAAATGATTTGTCTGGAAATTCCTCGGCAACCAAAAGCACGACATGACGCAAAGCCCCCGCAATATTCCTATTCGATATTATCCCGCCATCATTCTTGGTACTGTGTTGGCTCAGGTACTCGTAGAAAGTCTTCGTAACTTGGACACAGATGTCATCGTCAACTGGCATTGCAGAGCCGATTACGTGCGCAAATCCAGCAACTTGGAAAGCGCTGGCCAGATGCAGGCTCTCATCTCGTGACGGCGTGAGATCAGCGGTGGAGCAAGCAGACCAATAAGCTACCCAGGCTTGTGTCCCAGCCTGCCGAGCCAGAAGAGACTCGACGGTCAGTCTGTCAAGCTCCGGACCCATATCCCCCTGTCTCTGAAGCATCAGGCAGCTTTGTAATGGGTTGGTGTCCGTTGATCCATGGCATGCGAAGTGGGCAATTTGAGACGTTTTTAAACCGATAAGGACTTCGTCCGCAGTGGGCTTCTCGAGAAGATCGACCTTGTATGCGCTTTTAACGGCTTCCTGGATGGCATCGCGCTCCCGGTTAACGCCGTCAAGCCTCGCGTGGCCAGGCGTTGAGGGCATCGTAACCACCATAATCGAAGGGTTGATGTTCTCGGCTTTGCTGGATCCTTTACTACCTGATGCTCGGGCTCTTGCATGCTTGAGTGCTTTGATGGTCGGAGTGTACGATGAGATCACTTGGCGGAGGCAACTGTCGGTCGAAACACGGTCGAAACTAGCAGCGGCAGCGTGGAATGGAAGATGTGCAGCAGCGCCGGCGCCAATCCACCAGACCCGAGGTGGCTCCTTGTCAGATGTGACAGACAGAATTCTTTTTTCTCTTATAGACTCGAGAATAGGATGGACGCATGTGTGCCAGAGCAGTTGCAAGGAGGGGAAGTCGAAATGTGTTGCTCCCTGCGGAATCGCGTTCCGCAAAGGCCCCGAGTCAAGTTTTTCTGACTGCGAAGATTTCGCAAGCTGAAATAGCATCACAATTGAAAGCTTCTCGCTGATCGTTGGTTCTTCTGGAGGTACTCCTGACTTTAAATCTTCTGCATGCCGTAGTAACTTCAAGAGTAGCTTTATCCTCGGAAGCTCAATTGAGTAAAAGCCAAACATTGAGATGATGATCGCGTCCTCACCATACCGAGAGACGATTACGATGACGATTGGCCCGTCCGAAGCAGCTTCCATCAATTTACTTATAGGTGGCCGGAGGAGGAAGCTGTGAAACCCGTCGATCTGACGGATCTCCTGTTCGCAGGACTCTAGCGCATCCTCGATATCGGTATTTTTAGAAGCATTTCGAGAAGCCATAGCGCGAAGTTCGTGATACTTCTGAGCCAGTGAGGGGCATTTTGCTTGCAATTCTGAGAGGTCGCTCCGTCTGTCGATGAGATATCCGAGAATCAAGCCACGGCCAAATTCAATCTGTCGAAGGGCCTCTTTACAGTTGCCAGCCTTTAGAGATATCGAACATGCTACTGACGGAATATTTACAGTCTCCTTCATAGCGTGTTGCTGATCATTGAGGCTCAACATCCGGTTGCAGACACGTGGCAGAAGGTCAACGGCAGTATTTGCGAGAATGCCGGCTTGTTTCCAACAATTCCTCTCGCAGAGGATTTCCATGGCTTTCCATGCACCCGAAGATCTTTCGCGAGGGTCTGAACGAGGAACCATACTCGCAGTTGTGAAATGCTCAAGCGCTTTATCGAGACATGTAGCGCTGTCCTCCAGCTCGCTTTTCTTTTTCAGCGCCAACCCGAGCCTGAGATGGGCCTTTACCAAACCGTTAGGATAATCTTCGGGCGCGGCCTCGATAGCTTTGCTCGCCGCTGAGATTGATTTGTCAAGGTCTGTTGCATCTTTTGACCAATCATAACGACCATATCGCACCTGCGCAAGATTGATCACACAGGGGATCCTTACACGCAGGGTGATTGAAGGGTCTTCGAGTTCCTCTTCCATTGTTGATAGGGCGGCATCTAGCTCGCTGATGTCCCTTGAGTTGTAATTTCTTTGCACTAAGCTGCCTGTAAGATTGCTCATGAGACTTGCACGGCAGTCGACATCTCCGGATGTCAATGCAAGCGCTTCCTTGTAGCATTCCATCGCAGCAACATTGTCTGGGGCGTTTTTTCTCTGTTCGTAACGGAGTTCCAGCATGATTGCAAGGTTTGAGAGCCCTACTGCGCGGTTGGGACAATCTTCTGGCAGCGCAGCAATGGCCTCCTCAGTCTTCAAGATTGCGGCATCCAGATCAGCCATGTGTCTCCTCAGCTTGTATCGAAACAAAAGCCCTAAACCGAGAGATCCAAGCATTGCGCTGCGTCCCGATTCACCCGCAGGCAAAGCGTCAATGGCATTTTGAGAATTCGATATTGCTGCTTTGAGGACAGTTTCGATGCCGTTACGCTCGTACAATTGGAACTGCGCAGAGGCAATCGAGTGCAGCCTATGTGCACGTGAAGCACCCTTGCCGTGCGTAAGACCGAGTGATCCTTCCATACTCGATAGTGCTTGCTGGATATCGGCGACGTTGTATGTCTTGTCGAATCGGCGTTCCAGCATCTTCTCAAGCTTTCCTTGAACCATCGCTTGATATTCTTGGTTCGGGTGGCCCACAGCTTCTGCTTCATCCATTTTGCTGATGGCTGGATTGAGGTCGTCTGGATCCCCTGACTCAATGTATAGACATTCCAGTGCGCCACCAAGGGCGCTCAATGCGAGCGCTCGGGTCGGCCCATTGTCTGGATTTGCATCAAGGGCTTGGTTCCCTGCGGTGATTACTATACCAATCTTGTCCGACCCTCCGACTTGGCGATATTGGGTGATTTATACATGTTGCACAACTGGGCTTGCCATCCTGGCCGCTCGGGGAGGAGATTGATAATTGTCTTGGCGTGAGATATCGCCGCATCAATGTCACGAGAGTGACATATTTGAGAGTATCGACTCCATTCTAATATCCAAGGTCGTTGTTTATCTACCAATCGATCGTACAGATTCTCCAGGGCCACGTGTGCTACTGCTGCCTCGACATCATCGAGATTTTGCGTATGTGTAAAACGGAGGTACAGTATCGTAGACAGCCGTTTATATAACAGTTTTAATCTTAGATCACCATTTAAAAGTAGCGTTTCCGCTTGCTTCTTCTTCTTTAGAAAAATTACTAAACCCAACTTTTTTTTACTAAACGGACTAAACCTAACATCTAAAATCTAAATCTAACTCTACGTATAAATAACTAATATCTACGTAGTATAATATAATAATTCTTATTATAATAGAAATATATATCTTTCTACTATTATAAAAATATTAAAGTACTTTAATTTTAACTTCTATTAATACTTTATAGTATGTAAAAAAAGTTAAGTTTTAAAAAGATTTTTTTAAAAAAAAAATAATATTCTAGTAAGAAAAATCTTTATTTTTAATTTTAATAAATAAATTTAAGTATAAATACTACTATATATATTAAATAATATTTATAAATTACGTTAAGATTATACAGCGTAAAAGAAAAAATACTTAATAAAAAAAAGTTAGATTTAGGCTTTAAGTGTTAGGTTTAGTCCGTTTGGCAAAAAAAAAAAAAGTTGGGTTTAGTGATTTCCCCTTCTTCTTTTCGAGTGCAACTTCTAGGTCCGCTAGTTCGCTGCTTTGATTGTATTTGACGCAGCTAAGTCTATGTTAAGGTTAAGTAACTTGAAAAGCTGAGAGTCGTCCTGTAAAATGTCAATTGCGCGCTTGACATAACCCGCGGCTGCATCCAGATCATCTTTGTTGCCCGTGAGTCCGGATCGTTCTATATACAACTACGCCGCATCCGCCTGCAGCACTGGTAGTTTCGTATACTTTGTAGATAAGATGGAAAAAGCCTCCTCAGCGCTTTCGATTGCGGCGTCTCGATCTCCGTCTGCTTTTGTGTTGTGAAACTAACGGATTATGATGGCTGCTCGTTTAGCAAACATTTCCGGTCTGTCGCTGTGATCATCGGGAGAGCTGCAATGGCATCGTTCATCTAACGAAGTGCCGCTTCAAGGTCGTGTTTATGTCCTTCCGGTCCTTAGCTTTGTTCGAATAGAATATCTGCGAGCTGAAAGAGCAGATGCAGGAGACGGTGATCTTCTGCAGGAGAAGTGATATCCTTTCGCCCGGGCTACCGAAGGCGTGTGTTTCCTAAATCCACCTTGATTAGCGGTTGCTGCTCTACTCCGATGTAGTACCTCACCATGATACTTGGGGTCAGTGGGTAGAAGCCCGAAGACTCTTTTCCAATTCAAGGCAAAAGCAGTAGGGAAAGAGAAGTATTATTCTGCTGGGGCAAACCCAAAGTAAGAAGTTGTAGGCGTTGAGTAATTGTCGATGAACCCCGATTTTTACAGAAACATGCATATTTTTTTATAAGGCAGTAAATCTAAAAGACGCACGCTTTCAGTAAAGCTCAAAACGACAACTCATAAATCAGTATCCAATGCAACTGTGTCATTTCAGCTCATCCCAGAAAGTATTACGTGGTAGATGCACATTGGTAGCTGATCAGTCGCTGCGTTCGCGTAAATGCAGTGTCAGCTCGGTATTGCCGAAGCCTAGAAAGCGATCGGTTATGAAAGATGCTAGTCACACTCTTACTCCATGCGCTTGACGTTAACACTGCCATCAAATCTCTGCCACCCGTCCATGCTTGTCTCCACTTCCGTCAGCTAAGGGTTGCGTGATTACCTACAGTCTTCAGCGAATTATATAGGTAGAAAAATCTTTCGCGGCCGGCATCTTCCCTCAATTATTTCTTTCGCTAAATCTTACCGCAGTAAGTGATAAGTCCAGCGCATGCTACATGGCTGGTTAAAGAGACGTTTCACTACCCGAAAAAGTTGTAAGACTAGAGAAATTGAGAGTTCCTTTAGAAAGACATATTCTCTTTTTTTTATTAGGCAACTGCGCGACTAGAGGTATGTATAGATGATATTATACGACGGCCCGAACCGGAGCCGGGCCCAGCGTGCCAGTACCATTACGGAAAGGCTAAGGCCTTACCATGATCAGCACGCTTCGCTTCTACCCCCGTACAGCGAGAGATTACTATCCTACGGAACACGCTCCTATTCACTAGTCGGCTACGATAGATCACATACTATAGATCATCATTGGACTGAGCGTCTTTTAAAGATCAGCACAGATCCCCAGATTCTCGGCTTCGGTGTAAGCGGTGATCTACGCCAACGCCTGGACTCGCAGCCTGCGGTCATAGCTCACGTCAGACGCATTACTCTTGGTGATGCATGTCAGACTAGCTGGCCATCAGTCGTGGCGAAATGGCGCGCCTTCTTGGCTACCTACACCATGCACGAGAAGCAGACACTGGCCATAGCTGACATCAGACGCATTACTCTTGGTGAGGGAACGCTGGCCTCTCGCGTGCTCTAACAGGCACAGCGGGCTACAGAAGCCTCGTGTTCCCTTTTACAGACCCTCAGATGGGCAACACATCAAGTTCAGCAGAGACCCCGCGTGATCGGCCCATCATCCCCATTAGATGCTTTGCAGATCATGCACGCATGCGGCCAACCGGGAGCTACATTAGCCAGTTTACTAGGAGCATCTTATAAGCTCGGCGTCGCCGATGTTCCAGCGCTCTTTATGCACATGCTGCGGGTCCTCTGGATCCGGAGTTGATTAAGGCGTTAGTAGGGTCACACGCAAACGCTCGTCTTTCGCGGGCTGCTCTTAGGAGCCTGGAATCCGAACGCCGGGAAATGTTGAATATTCTCGTTCTCAATGTGCACCATATGCATACATGTTATGTTCATCACTCCCTTGATATTACCATAGTAAGCAACGCAGCCAGCCATTGTTGCATATCCAGTCAAGATGGGCTTTCGGCCTACAGAAACGCCACCCCACAAAGATCCTTAAAGTTCAGGATATTCTGCTGCTAACGTAACTTTTAATGATTCCCATAACAATTCTTTACTCGGTTTTCTAAACTATCTCCAAGCGCTCTCCGCACATACTAATCGCACAATTTCTACTATTGCTGGCCAGGCTTTATCCACGGACTGTCGCAAATCCATTAGAAGAGCTCTCGTAATTGGGATCGACCACTACCACCGCACAGATGAACACAAAAACCTCCGACGGTGCGTGCGAGTTGCACAGGGGATGGAGAATTTCCTCCAAACTTACCTCGAAGTGAGCAAGGAGAACATTCACGTCCTGCACGGAGCAACACCACACACCCAGGACAACACCAGCTCTGAATCTGATGTACCTCTGAGACCAACCAGAGATGACATACTCCACGCAATTGACACGATCAAGAATGAGAGCCACGAGGGTGATTACGTCCACATTCACTACTCGGGTCACGGAACTAGATGCGAAACGGTTTATGCGAAGCTCTAAAGTGTGCAGATGGAAGCATAATTCGGGATGTGGAGCTTGGCGTTCTGCTAGAGCAGATGGTTCAGGAAAAGAAGCTTATTGTGTCCGTCACTCTCGACTGCTGTCATGCCGGCGGCGCCCTTAGAGATGGCGAGAAGAGCAAATTTGCCATCCGACAGCAAACGACCACGTCTATGCCGCACAACGTGGATTGGATCGGCCGCGATCTCTTCAACTCGTCGGCAAATAGCTCCCAAGAGCACGGAAACTGGTTCTAGAAAGTACGAGACTTCAAGCTCATTGCCGCATGCCAGCCGCACGAGATCGCCCGGAAGTTCACTGACGGCGAAGGTTACTGCCGTGGCATCTTAACCTTTTACCTGCTCGAGAGTATGAATCACTTGCGCACAATAGAATCTCTCGGAGCCACGTCGTACCAGACGCTCTTCCGCATGCTGTAAGCGCGATGCCACTCCAATAACTACAGCTCCGTGCAGAGTCCGGTCTTGTTCGGAGAGCGGAAGAGGTATGTCTTTGGCTTGGGTCTGGATCTGGTCGACAGCCCGGACACGACCATGGTGACCAGGGTGGATATGGAGACCGAAGAGGTTGTCTTGGGTCGTGGTTCTGTCGATAACGTTGCTGTGGGCGACAAATAGCAAATAATGCCATTTTTCGGCGCTGAGCACACAGTTGATGTGGAAGTTGTTGAGGTTGAGGCCTTCCAGTCCTACGCACGATATAAACCCGACCAAAGCAATCTTGTTGCAGAGTTCTAGCTTGCTAAGCCCCTTAGAAACGCTTACGTGCTTCAAGTTATTGTCTCTTCATCGAACGAAGACAGTATAGTTATTAATTATGTTAATGAAAAGTAGACGGAGTATGCAAACGACACTGTTCCCCTTAATTTCCAGGCAACAGAACCCAGAGACTTTTAGATACGCATTACTAGGGGCCCGAAGGGGGATAGAGACCCTATCTGGGAGATTTAAGATGGAAAGGAGAATGTTGTGCCGAATGTTCCACGCATTACTGCCACTTCTGATGCTACTAAGGGGCCAAAAAATGATGAAGGACTTGTGTGGAACACTCACACATCTCAAGAAATATTCCACGTTCGAAGCCTTAAAGCCTACGCTAAAAGACTTTTTTAATCGCTCTTGGGAGTTTAATGTCAACGCAAGCCAGACTCGGAGCACAAGGGACGACCGACGGAATCGTAAGGAAAGAGTAGCCACTGCCACGATCCAATTTAAGAACAACACAGGTCGGCGCGTGTTCATAGCCGTCTTCAACCTCGCTCCAGACTGGAGCGTGACTCAACTTATTCTGGATGTCTCCGAAGGATCGCTGCCTGTTGATCATGGTAGCAAGATCCCCACCTTCCATATCGATCTCATGGTTCCTAATCTCTTCAAAGATGGAAACAGACCGGAGATAATGAAGGATGCTTTTAAATTGATCGTTTTAGATGATTGTATTCCCTACAACCTCTCTCACTATCAACTCCCGCAAATCGGGGATAAAAGCTCTACCATCGGCCGCAACGCAGTTCCAAAGACCAGGCTAAGCACTTGGGATGTTGATTACAAGTCTGTAGAAATCCGGCTTCCAACGGAAAAATACGGACGTGGAATCGTAATTTCAAATCTTTAAGTAGTTGTCGAGTAGAACTAGAAGGTCCTCGTACGGCGGCTACAAGCAGCCGCGAGGAGAAGCGAGTCAGATAGCGAATAACACGTGATTTTCATACCCTTTTTGTTGTGCACCTGCCGTAAGTAAAGCAGCTACTAGAAAGAGCGTATAGCAGCTACTGTGATGGTGGAAGTCGGGTAGTACGTTATCAAGATCGAGTATATAAAGAGGTTGTATCTCTCTATCGCCCTTCACAAGGACCGGAGAGTCATAATTAAGCGACTAGCGTTCAATCTCAAGTCTAACAATCCACCCTTCTCTGGGGGAGCGAAACTCTCTTTTTTACCACCCGCAAGTGTGATTGTGTATGGAATCACTGGTTGGAAGAAGGCCAAGCACCCTGAACTGACCAAGACGTACAATTTCCACATGGTGGCTTGAAATCCTGTGTTGCGTTGCCATGGATGCGCCCAGAGACTTCTGCAAGCGCCACATTAACCCAAGCCGAGCACGTCACATCTCGCGCGCCTCTGCGGCTTCAGCGCTTCGTCCCCGTGTGCCCGCTAGAACGCTGCCGGAAGCTTTCCAGCATATGCTGGAAGCCTTCGAGGATCAGGCCACATATTCTCCGTCTTGCTTGTTGGCCGAGTATGGCAAAATCTGCGAGCGTTTTCCAACGCCGGGACATGCAGCTCCATAGACCAACACTGCCAACTGCGCGCTCGAATCTACCGAAACCCGTGTGGCATTCAAATCTCCGGCCGATTGCCGCTGGCACCTGTGAATCCCGTGTCTTTTATGACGGCATTGAGCGGCTTTCCCAACGCTTCGTCCTGGACTGTTTCCAGCTTTTCGCTTATACCATCAGACTTGAAAGCCATCAGTTGACTGCTGGACTGAACACAAGGCTTGGGTACCAATCCAGAGGCCCCGTCGGGGTGCAGGCGTCCCCATATCGCGCGCATGGTTTCTTACGAACATTAAGTCGGCTTAGAAGCGCTTGAAAGTCATGACCCTAATGCGTAGAAGGAAAACTTCGGCAGTACATATCTCTCTAATCCATCCGTTTCGGCAACTCAAAGGGGATATTTCCGAATCCACCTATTTTTAATATAAAAACCCTAAATCTCGCCCTATTTATATACACCTCTTTTTAAATTTTAGATATAAAAATACTACTATTCTTTAATAAATATACTTTTTTTAATATAAGAATATTTTTAATATATAGCTGCTATTATAAATTAAAAAGATTTTAAGTTTTACTTATATTACTGCCTTATTTTATCTAAAAAAAAAAATAACTTTTAAAGAGATTTTTATAAAAAAAACACTTCGGGTTTTTATTATAAAAATATATTTTTTTTAGTAATATAATATAAATATAAGTCTATATACTATTATATATGTAAAAAGTTTCTTATATTTTACTTTCGTTATAGTGTTGTCGCGGTTTAAAAAAAAGTCTTTTAAAAAGAGGTGGATTTAGTAATAATATCTTCTAACTTTAAATCTACGGAACTACACTACTAAGGCTAAATACACTGCAACCCTATAGACATACGGGGCGGCTGAGCTAATACCAACATACTAGGGTCACTGAAGCAGCGAAGATGAGGTCTAGAGTTTTCACGGGGACGGTTCTAGCAGATGCGACAATCAAGAGGGGGTTTGGCCCTTTCTTTCGGGGAGCTCAATATATCGCGTATTTACCTCCTCAGCTTCTCGTCTCAGCCTGCCGCAACGACGGCGGCAGACGGCACCCACTAGATCTCTGTAATAGCCAGTGCTCTTCCAAAGTTAGGAGACGTCCCAGCCCAGCCGCAACAGCAAACGCTCTCTTAATCCCATGTGGTGGAGGAACATCTCTGCAGCTCTCCTTCGGCCCGTCAGAAAAGGAAATGGATGATTTGGCTGGTGAGGACTTGGACGATGGCCCTGGAGTCCTAGTCGCGGCGGTGCGCACAGCGCTTTGCATGATCTCCAAGGTCGGACTTGGCTCAAAAATGGCGCAATTCGCGCTGGACAGCATCTCTGTGGTCGAGATGCAGGGGCATCAGTAGAGCACCGCAGCTACCGTTGAGATCTTTAACGTGCTACACCTCGGCGCGCACAAACTCTACGTTATCCTCCACTTGACACTTCTACTGAAACTGCTGCTAAGACAAGGGCTGTTCAACGGTGTCGTCCGAACAGATACCAGCACTGGGAGAGTGCGCGATGGTCGTTTTATTGCAACACCAAGCTACCAGAAGCAGTGGATGCCAGTCTTTGATGTGTCCAGGGAGTTGCAGCTCATTGATGACCGCATTGCTACGTTTAGTGTCCCACGAGCATGTCTTTGCACCTGGATCCTCGGGTACTACGTGTATGCAAAGTGACACAGCTCTCATCTGCGATCAGATGGTGGGACGGAAAGCGGACATTGCTGCTCGCAAAGCTGTTGCGCAGTGCGATGAAGAAGGCTCCATGATTTCTTGCCTCTCGACAAAGCGAGTGCCCAAGCCAACCTCCAGTGCCATGTGTGGATTGCAGATCGGTATATTTCGCACGTCACATGTTCGACAGAAAGTAATTGATGCTGCCAGAGAAGGTGGCTGAGCGCGCTGGAGCTGTGACGTCATGGGCAACGACTGTGCCCGCGCCATCCTTTATTGCCACGACAAGAGACGTGTGCCCGTGTCATTCCGGCAGATGTGCCATTCCAGCAGTTTCCCTGAAGATCTCGAGATGACGACCGTCGTCCCAGGTCGAGAGCTGGTGCGTCCGGAGCCTGGCCAAAAGACGAGCATCAAAGACTTTCTCGGACGCGTCAGCTGAAATGAATGAGCAATCGCATTTGAAGCCAGCCCGAGCTTCCAAAGAAGCATCCGCTTCGACAAGTGGGCAGGGACCTAACCAACACAACCCTCGGGAGGCCCACGAAGAAATCGGGGCAAAGCAAGCACGGCGCCCATGAAACGGCACGGAAGATGGCCATGGAAACAAGCACGGAAACATTCACAGGCCCAGACTTAAGAACGAGCCAAGGCAACCGAAGCTACGACTGTTATAGTACTAGGATAAAACTTCTCGCACTCGGCTGTTTTACATTAAAAACAGCCGAATTTATACTACGACATTATTATATAATATAAAAAGATAGAGAAAGCTATAAGTAAAAATACTTATCTATTTACTTTTTATTATTTTTATATTATTAGATAAAAAGAAATAAATTTATACTTTCTTATAAATTTTACGTATTAAATTATAAATTTTACTTTTCTTTAATTTTCTACTCTTAATAATTTAAGAATAAATATTTTATATTATCTACTACTTATATATTTTAACGTCTTATTATTTTCTCTCTTTAATTGTTATTTTATTTTTAAGAAAAAGAGTAGTGGTCTCGGTTGCGACCGTACGAGAACTTCTATTAGGTCACTGTATCACGCAGCAGCAGAGCCAAGAGTTCACACAATATGACTCTCGAGATACCTCTGAGGAAATCGGGCAAAGCAATGGAAGTGCTTGTAAAACGGCGGAAGGACGCCACAGCAACTAATTCCACAACTGTTATCGCGCAGCGGAAAACCAATAGCGCGTAGCAGTAATGCCGACGTCGATCTGCTTCTCGCTCCACCCTCCCATCGGCAAGGCCGACGTGGAAGCCATGCCTGCTCCTCATCTAACCGCGCTAGTGGTATGTTCACCATACATGCTATGCAATCGTCGTCGCGCGCGGTCCTTGATCGTCGGTTATTTTCTAATTTCGACGGCCCCCGCCTCTTAAGCACGGCATCGACCACGAAAGCGACATAAGAAATGTACATCCAGTGGACAAATAAACATACTTCAAACGGTACCTCGAAGCAGATACTTCAACCTCCATTACTTTAGCCACACCGTCAGAAACTGAGGTGTTCATTAGGCAATGATGGACAACCCCCGTCAATTTCAGCATCATCCAATCGAAAGAAGTCATATTCCAGAGAGGCTCTAAGATTTAGGACAGAAAGCCTGGGTGTAGGCATTGTTTTCCGCGTTCCGCAGTCAACCTTTCTTTTTTCTACTTCTTTCTCGACGCCCGGCCTGAACGTATCGAAACCATTGGTCGTTTGGTCCCTGAGATGGGAGACGGTGAATACAGTCAGTACCTTGGCCGCTAAGATTGCCGCGCAGAAGCTCTTCGTTGGACATAACCATTTCGCAGCACGGAAGAATATCTGGCGGAAGGATGAGAACTCGGCAGCCGGGGTCCAGCGAGACAAGAACACGTACGCCGAGGTGTTGCAACACATCTTGGATACAAGCGCGCCACTAATTCCGCAATTGATTCGTGAAATGTTCTGACGGTCATCAGCGAGCGGGTCACGGATCGTGACGCTCTCTACCATCCTTTGTCAAATGCTGACGCACCCGAGGATCCGCCAATTGGCCATCCCATGGAATCCGCCTTGATCGATAGTTTGGCGGCAATGTTTGCATGTCGATGGCGTTAATGGCATAGTGTTTATGTTTACAGAGCATTTCCGGCAGTTAAGATGGTCGTCCAATCACTGCCGTCCTGGGTGGAACGGACGAAGTTTTCGCCATGTTTACCGGTTCCCAGCGATTTGCTTCATAGTTTTTCAAGCTCAGTTTTCATGTGCTCTCATTTTCATGGTATGAGTACATAACACCACGCACACGCGAAGCATCATGCAGCCCATCGCTCACTGCGCCAAGGCGACGGTGCCCACCTTCCCCTTTGACAACCAGCAACGCTGACGTTAGGCATCTCGGATGGAAGGGCGTAATGGACAGGAATACCGCAGGAATCGAGGGTCTGAAGAAGTAGGCCGTTACCGAGCGTGCCAACTCCATTTCCATGGAGCTGTTCTGCATGAAGACCAGCCATTATCACCACCACCGGCCCGCCCCCATCGAGAAATATCGGCTACAGTAATCAGATTTACCACCCAGACGACGTCGAAGGGGGAAAAAAACGCGGGGTCACCCGCTGGATTACGCACAAAGGGCGGTTGCGGTCTCGATTCCCGCATCGTCGGGTCTATCGGCAGCGTACAGGAAACCGTATACGACTGCTGGATGTGCATCTTGCGCCGTGTTAGCGACTACCGCGCTACATCGGGCGTCATTTGAAGCGCGACTTTTCATCATTGCAAGGCCGCCTTTGACGAGGAAGTGTCCATATTCTCCCAAGTGGATGCGGAAGGCGGAGAGTCGTAACACCTCTACCTATACTGGTGCATTTTGTACGGCCCCATGCGTCGGGCCCACCAACAGCCCCGCATTTTGAAAGTCGTGTGGAAAGCGGTCAGGAATTTCCACTTGCAAGACACAGGTGTAGTGCCCGTACGGCTGCTTTCTCAACTTGGGACACGCACGGGGAATCCGCGCAGCGAACATGCTAGGAATTTAACGCCATGGCGACCTCGGTGAGCTAGAAGAGTGTCACTTCGACGCCACCTACGAAGAGCTTGGCCGTTCGAAACCGCAAGCATCACTGCTCACTCACAAGAGCCCAAATCGGCCCTCGTGCATCTCGTATTCCAGGCTTCGGCTGACCTGAAGCCCCGGCTCCAGCCTGTGCAGCGAATGCGCCAGGCGCGACGCAAGCCAATGTTGTTGCCGCGCCACTTGCCACGGGCACGCCAGTCGCCTGTCAGAGACCGTATTCAAGCTCGCAGGCGACGGAGTAAAACACTCCCAGGCATTGCAGCAGCTCGAGGACGTTGTTCAAAATCGTGCCCACAGCAGTACCGGACACCAGCTCCCATCGCCCACTACTCCGCCGTGCGAAAGGACCACGAAATTGTCCCCCTCAGCGGCGTCGCGAGAGCAATCATTCAAGCCTGCGACACCAAGCACCGCGAGCAAATCCAAGCGCGAGGGCAGCACCAGCACAGACTTCGAGGCGGACCTACAGCTTATGCGCAGTCTCCAATAAGTGGACAGTCGTAGCAGCAGGGCTCACCGTTCCAAACAACGCATAACGTTCAAGCAACATCTTTCAGCCGGTAATCTCGACGTTAACAAGACGAACAATCGGATTCACTATCGGTGACGAGGGACGAGCAGCCCATTTTCCAGCTACTCCACCCTCCGAGTGGCATCAGTATCCAGATTGTGTCGCCATGTCCGCCCGTACATTTTTTCTCTTCATTGCGTAGCTTGCCCAAACGACCATCATCTACTCAGGGCGCAGCATCAGAGTTACACATAAACATGACTATCCGTCGTCGAAAAGAATTTATCATTTCTCAAACCTCGAGCGGGCCTTCATCGATCTCGATCTACCGTAGGGGAGGGGGGCAGAGGGACGCTTCGCAGGGCCTGGATATAGCTCTCCAGGTGGTAGCGGGCCTTAATGGTGGCTTTGTGGCCTTTCTGTCTCAGGAGCCGAGTATTCTCTATCCTGTAGCGGTTATCCAAAAACCCAGGCTGCAGAACTGCCGTTCATCAGCACGTAGGTACCAGCAGCCAATCTCCTCCACTTAGCGTGGGCCATCACCGAGTGGAATAGTTAGCCAAATCCAAAGGCTCACATGGGTTCTAGAGCGATTGGCATGCTTGAGTCGCGGTGTAAATCGGGCGGGCGATGCCGAGCGTGCAGTATGAATGGAGGAGGCAAGGGATCTGCCGTCGGTGTTACATGCTCGCCCCACACTCGCATCGACCTTTCTCGACATGCACACAGACCGGCACTGGAGCTAGAGACAACCCCATAACCTCATCTTCCCTCCGCTCGGCCGCACTGCTCGAAAAGAACAGGACTGCAGACACACTCATCTTCGCAACACCACGTTCTCTCGCTCATATCTACGTAAGTGCCCGCTCGCCATGCAGAACATGGACAAAAGCGGACGATGCTGGCGTTGCTTAAGGCAACCAAATCGGCAGCCTGGTTGGCAGAATGATGCAAAATAAAGGCAGCGAGCTCGGGTTTATATTCCTAACGAGTGACTAGGGACTAAAGAGTGATAGAACATGGGTAAAAGGAAACTCATCATGCCATCCGCGCCTTCCCCTCAGCAATCCCGGCTTTCTATTCAGTGTAGCAGTATCCACCCTCGAGACCCTGCTTCTTGGCGGCCTTGAGAGTAAGGCACTCAACATTGCCACCGCGCTTGCAAGAATAATGATTGCCGCCGCCGCAGTTGTGGGCGCTGGCGTACCCGAATCCCTTCGTCTTGGAGCAGTCGCCCGCCTGGATGCCCTCCTTCCGGTTGGTGCAGAACTTGGTGTCGGACGCGCTGGCAGCGAGCCCCAGAACAGGGTCGGCGACGGGCGGAGTGGAGTCCGCGGCGGCGACGTCGGTGACAAAGGTGGACAGGCTACTGCTGCCGTTCGGCGTCGAGTCCCCAGAATCGGGCAAGGTCCGGCCACTTGCTAGACTGAGCATTGCAGACATAGCAAGCACCGCTGACAGCTTCAGATACATCTTTGGTGATGGCGCCGGTTTCGACGAGCTGGCAGATGCGTTCGACGAACTGTTCGACTTCGGGGCCGGAGCCTTCGAGCTGTGGGTGAGGAGCACTTGTTAGCTGCGGCCAGTGCCATGGAGAGGTGTGGACTTGCGTGGATGTAGGCGAAGTTGATGAGGGTCGGAGGATCAGTGTGTTCAAGCCGCGTGTAGACCAGCCAGTTGTTCCAACCGTCGTGGTCGCCTCGGAGCCAGCGGGTGAGTTCTTCGCGGACGTCGGTGTAGTGGCAGTCTGTCGTCTGTACTTGGATCAGCCGGGTGCCTTATATATGCACTTGAGTGAGCTGCCCGTACATAATGGGGATCATCAGTCCACTCCCCATACTGCTTTGTCTCGCTGGATGCCATATCGGGTTGCTTGTGCCGGGGTGTTGGTGAAAATGGGTCGAGGAATGTCGGAACGCTGGGGTCGGTATGCGAGTGGGGTGGCACGCTTATGAGCGTGAGGTCAAAGGTGTTACAAAGAGCTGAGGTGGCAGTTGCCTGTAGTGGCCCTGTTTCTTTCCGCGTATGGGTTGGGCATGCAGCGGTGAGACGGATGGGGAAATTGCCACTCGCGGTGACTTGTCCGGTGAGATTCCCCGAGCGCATGCCACCCCCCAGTGTCACAATGACGAGTGCGGGGAAGTTTGAATGCCGGCCCTAGACCCCTTGCATTTGTGTCCCAATCCGTGCACGTGTGTCCAAATCAGGACAACAATAGGCCGCTGTGTCTGCTCAGCTCGAAAGATCTGGTGCACCGCACGGTTTATATTACGTAAGCGAAGAACACCAAGTTATCGCCACGAGCTTCCATCAACGTAGTACAATGTGTAGTCTTTGAATCGCGATGTAACTTGGTAGAACTTATAAGAAAGGTATAAAGAGCTTCTGAAAATTTTTGCGTAAGTATAAGTGCGTGTTTGGCGGTGATATCCGGGCGGTGGGGGGTCATCACGAACCATGGGCCATAGTGGACATTCGATTCACGCAAACACACAAACCAGACCTGCGCTTAACCCGCCCTGAAGATGCTCGTGCCATTGTCCACTCTGCTTTCCTTGTCCTTGTCATCAGCTCGCCAGCCCCTCTTACCCTTTTCCCTTTTCCGATATTCCGCATGATCTTCCTGCCTGTCTGCCCGCCTAACCAGCCTTCTTTTCCTGATCAGGCATTTTTTCAGTCATCTTTCTTTGTAAGAGTACCTCGCCGACCTCCACCCCACCGGGTATGCCGTTCATTTTACACCCAAATTTTGGGAGATGGCGAATTTGTCAGGTGGTGTACGGGAAGTCGTGACCGCTGCGACCATACTGCAGTCGCTCGTCTGGCATCATAATGGTGCGCTGCCAGCTGCGCGCCCGGAAACAAAGTTCACACGTGGCTCAATCACTACCGGTTTCCGACGGTTCAGCTCTATGCGGCATTTACCTGCGCTCTTGTCGAAAAGGCTGGCAACGCCGCGGCCATCTACTCGGGGTACCTGCTCTCGCCGCCATGCGCGGCCGTCTACTCGGGGTACCTACTCTTGTCGCCATACGCCACCACAGCTGTCGTCTGCTGGCAACGCATGAGCACACCTCACTTCACGCGTTCCGCGCGCCTGGCATTAAGTTCCGACGATGGGGCCGTCGAAGTGGTTGAGTGGGGTCGCCTTGGTAGGTCGTTTTCGGCCGTGGTAGGAGGACTTCTAGATAGTTAGGCAACGCTATATCTCCTCCGCCCACCGCCGATAGATATATTTCGACTTGTTTTTCTACCGGCTAATTAACTCGTTACGGCGAATATAAGAGTTTAGAGTAAGTCCCACTTTTTAAATCTCTATTTAAGAATACTTTTAACGTTTACGTACGTAACTTAGAAGATTTATAATTATAATCTTATAAAGCGGCTTATTTAATCTTAGCTTTAAGACTATTAATTAATTACGTTTAATATAGTATAATATTATAACCTTCGTATATATAGTATATTATTTAATTATCTATATTTTAATTTTTATTTTTTAAATTATCTATTTATTTACTTAATTATTTATATTTTTAATTTTTTTAAAATATTTTTATAAATTTTTAATTTATTAAAATTTTAATTAAACTACTAAAAAGTATAGCTAAAATTACGTATTCTACTTAAATAAAAATAAAAAATATATATATATTTAAGTAGAAATTTAGCTATTTTTACTATAAGTTTTTCTTAAATTTTAGCTAAAATATACGAGATAAAATTTTTATAAAATATATTATAAAAGCGTCTAAATAAGCGCTATAAAACGATATAATTTTTATAAAAAAGTATAATACTTTTATAGAGATATCTTAAAAAAATTAAAATTTTTAAAAAATATAAATAATTAAGTAAATAGATAAATAATTTAAAAAATAAAAATTAAAATATAAATAATTAAGTAATTTATTACTATATATAACGTTAAAACTAGTATAAAAAATATAACTAAGCGTTTTATCTTAAATATATATATTTAATAAGTATAAATTTATTTAATAAATAGAATTTAATTTTTATTTACTTTTATTTTAAAGTCTTAATACTATAAGTAATTTAAAAAATAAAAGCGATAATTCTAAATAATAATAGTTAAATTATTAATTAAAAATAAAATAAAGTTTAAAAATTTATTTATACTAAATACTTTTTAAATATATTTAAAAGTTACTTATATTTAGTTATATAAAATATTTTAAAAAATTTAAAACTTAAAAAACTTTAGTAAGTAATATTTATATATTTTAAAAATAAATATAAAATTATATATATTTAATAGTTAATCGGTTTAAATAGTATATTTAAATCTAAATAATATATATTTAAAATTTTATTTTTAAAATATTAACGTTTCTATCTAAAAATTAATTTTTTTATAATAAATAATATTTTTAAACCTCTTTACTATTATAAAAAAATAAAAAATAATTAAATTTTAGTTATTATTAACGTTTTTTTACGTAAAAAAAAGTTAATTTTTAAAATCTTTTTAGCTAAATAAGTTAATATTTTTATTATAAAATCTTTTATTTTTTTATTAGAATTAGTAAATTTAAACTTTAATAATATTATAAATATTAAAAGATATTTATATATTTTATTATATTAAATATTTTACGTTATTATAAAATTTTAAATATATATTATTTAGATTTAAACGTATTATTTAAACTATAATATTACTAAATATATATAATTTTATATTTACTTTTATATTTTAACTTACTATAGCTAAAAGAGATTAATATAATATTATATTATAAATTAAAATAATTTAGTAATAAGTAAAAGCGCTTATAATCGTAAAGATTTAAAAAATAAAAATAAATAAAGAAGATATTACTAAATATATTTATTTTTAATATAAAAACTTTAAATATATCTATTT